TGTAGCTGACAGTTACACATGGACTATCATTTGTTCATGAAAATCTCGTCTCGTTGCACTGTCAAATTACATTTACCGTTTGTAAACCACACGCAGTGTTATTGACTTTGAATCTTTTTAGCATCACATTGGCTTTCTGGCTTGTAGCCAAGTGTCAACCTATCGCGATTTCACCCACTGGTTTGTGGAGTACCCAGCAGCAGCAGTGACAATCACAATGTCAATCACAAGGTAGCAACGCCCTAAAGCATACCCCCATAGGACCATAATTCATTAAATGAAGATCATGCTTTATGAAAGAAGACTTGAAACTCGGGATTGAGACCATAAACTCATTAGGAAACTGTTTACTGAGCTAATGAGACTAAATTCATGACCTTTTACATTTTCAGTATATTACAAAATCAGCTATCCTTTTTTCCTCTAATAGCTTCAAGGTTGTTAAAATCTTATTCCACATTGTCTGACCATGTTAAATATATTTTGTATCAGCTTGTTTCACTTTTTCATTCAAGCTATATGTGAGTGAAATATTCAAACCCAAGACTCTATATGCATCTATATGCAAATATTAATCAGGTGGCAAGAGGGTGTCATTGAGACTTAAAGGGGTGGCAGAAATATATGTTGATTCATCGCAAATAGTCGCATATATCAATATATGCTTAGAAAACCCTCCAAATAAAGATATTATATTTTATAACATCATTGTGGCACATTAGTAAAGCATTGAATAGTAATATCTTAAGGTGGCATTGAGACATCTTTTTTCATTTGACTTAAGCCTTTCACCTCGTCTCAAATGTGGCCATAACAGCTCATTAAATAATAAATGTTTAACAATGTGTTAAATTTGACAGCATTTGACACCACACTGGTGGCAGCTTGGTTAGCCAGGCATTTTGTAGGGGTTGCCACCTTATGCCAACCCACTAGATCTGTCCTTGTCTTAATGCTTTATGGCTGCAGCCTTCTACCAATTGCAAATATTCTAGATGTACTGCCATCAATTCATACACGTAGCCTATCCTCAAAATTCAGCCTGACATATTTGGCATTTGTCCGAGCTTAGGGCCCTCTTCTGGAATTTAAAATCCTGTTGGTTTGAGTTCAGTTGCAGGCACAGCATGGGTTTGTCCTGACTGATCCACTTGGAGAACAGTGGGGTTTAAAGAGGTTTAACAAAGAATGACACTGTTCTCCCAAGAAAAATGACAGCATCAATAGCAAAAACAAAAAGATCAAGTGGCAAAGCTCTTCAACCGCCAAATTCATTTTGACTGTCGTCTGTCTGGGGCAAAAGAGGAAGTAGCGTTGATGGGTGACTGCTGTTCATCTCCTGTTTCCTACCGACTCTCAGTGTTTGTTTCTTTTAACCATGACAACGTTCAGTACTTGTTTTTTATTGTAACCATGACAACGAAGGTCCCCTAACCTTAACCAAGTAAAAAACAAGATCACTCTGCTGTTGCTATAGTGTATTATTTATTTCATAAATATAGGATACATTTCGGTGAAGTTAGCCAACCTGACCACACAAATTCCTCTCTTATATTTATCAAAATAAAAACTTGGCGCAATACTAGTTTAAACAGCTTGCTAACATTTATGTTTTGTTTTTTTATATTTGAGACAATAATATTACAGCAACCCTCCATTGGCTTTGCAAATGAAGATCAGTTTACTTACTTGGGTTTGGGGACTTTAAATTCATAACAAAAAGTGCAGATGCATTGGGGGCATTTGGAGAAGGTGGAAAAGAGAACAAGGCAACAAAATAGCTTCAAAATGACATTTGTCTATGGACAATGTACGAAACAGAAATAATTAATCAAAGTAAATAGTGGGACATTCTACTTAAAGATGCATCCTTGAACAGTGGACTAAAAGCTCCAACATCCAATGTATCGAGAACAACTTCTGCACATAGCAGTACTAAAAGTATGAGTATCTGAGCATCTGCATCATCATCTCTGGGCAATGTCAGTCTGTTGGTCGTTCTGTCCATCGCTTTGATTTAGACAAAAAAATGTCTGAAAAACTATTTGATGGATTAATCTGATATTTTGTAAAGATATTGAAGGTCCCAGAGGATGAAGTGTGTTACGTATTAGACATCAACACACTAACATTATAACTGCAAGCTTGTTAGCATGCTGACGTGAGCACAAGTAGCTTACAGGCCCAGAGCACTAGCAAGGCTGTAGACTCTTGGTCTTGTTAATCTGTCTCTTGTTATTCCTCAAACTTTATGGAAGTGCAAAAAGAACTGGACTTTATTTTGTTTGTGAGCTCCTAACCTAAGACAATTTTCTATTTTATGATACACAATCAGTGTTGTTATTTATTGTTTATTGTTGTGAATTATCAGCAGAATGGGCGGATAGTAAAAAATCAACTGTGCCTTTTCATGCACATTGAATATTTGAAGTTAGAGTCACAGATAGAGATCCTGAACTGTTTCCTTACATTATCCATAAAATTCAACACAGCAATGGCGTCTAGTGCTCCACAGTCCAGTGCATCCCTGGAGAGGCTCTCCAACCTGGGCGGTCTTGTTGTCTGACATTCGATTTGAGAGACTCCTCATGAGGTAGATCCACTGCTTAAGTGCTAAACATCCAATAAGCTACTATAAAGCCATAGTTTGCTGAGTGAGTTAAAGGTAGTTCATATTACGTGATCTCAGGCAATGTTGTGGAGTAATGCAGAAGATATGTAATGAGTAATAAGTTACTTTCTGCAGGAGGTAATTAAAGTAATACATTACTTTTTTTAAGTAACAGTGTGTAACATGGAGGAGGATCTGTTGGCAGAAATGGAATATAATATTCCTAGGTATGTTTTTATTAGTGTTAAATCAGCTCAATATATAAATTGTTGTCTTTTTGTTACCTTTGAATGAGCTGTTTTTATAGACAAATGCTGCAGTTCACCTTGTCCGCCATGTTGAACTGCCATGTTTCTACAGTAGCCCAGAACTTGGAAAAGGAGGGTGAATCAAGGGGATTGCAATCTGCAACTACACCGCTAGATGCCACTAAATACTAACACTGGACCTTTAATCATCATTCTGCTGCTTATTGGAAACTGTACAAAAATAATAACCTTGTTTTACCATTTTGATACTTTATAATGTTTTCTGATTTTATGAGAATTGCTTTTAATCAAGATTTTAAGCTGAGGTTTCAAAGTCAGCTGTAGAAAATGACTCATTGCTTGGGTTTGGGGTCTCAGAAACTTCAGCTGTAAAATATTATTAAATACAAGGAATTTTCATCTGCACTATATTGGTGCTGACTTATTACTCAACAGTACTCCTACCAAATCCCAAATGAGGTTATCTTGAATTCTTTTAGGCTTTAAAAAAGTGTGTTCATAAGAGCTCTAACAGGGAGCGCTACCTTTCTGGGCTCTAACTGACTCTAGGGTAATATACATTTCTTTGATAATGATAATTCCATATTTATATTTTATTATTTATTTATCTCATAATTGGTCACATTTTGTCACCTCTAAACATGCTGCCCAGTTTATGTTGAAAGGAAGGATTACGATTTAAAAACTTCTCTACACATTGGGTTTAAATGAGCTGAGAAGAAAGTAAAGACTGTTTTTTTGACAGAAAAAAATATTCTGATTAATATTTTTACATCTGCAGCAGTGGGGTCTGTAGGACTCCAAACAGTGAAGAAGTAATGTCAACATAAAGGTTAAAATAGGTTTCCGAGGAAACCACACATAACAGTCATAAAACAACAATTCAAACAGAGCAAACTATTTTAAAAGCTAGAGAGGAGCAGTGTGTTACTCTTCAAACATTAAAAATATCATTGATGACAGCTCGCAAATGGCTGCATGTGATTCTTTTATATAGTATAGTGTTTTTTTTATAATGATAAATTTCCTGCATGTAGCAGTGACTCCACCCTACCTGGCGTCTGTCTGTCTCTGTCCTCCGCCTGTCCTCTTTATCATCATCTGGCCGCTGGATTAACAATCAGCAGCAGATTATAGCCATAATAAGCTCCAAAACACAGGTTCAAGGGTCAGTTTCTACACAAGAGGCGAGGCTATACACTTAAAGGATCGCGTTTTGATTGACACTGCACTGTTATTATATAAAGCTCAATTAATCTGCACTGTCGAGTCGAGTTATTGTCATAACCGCTTATTATTTACACGCCCGATCAAATCACCGGGTGAAATAATCCAAACCGATGTTGTTTTATTGCAAGGGTTTTAAAAGATTTATTTCAAAATAAAATACTCTATACTTTAGCCTACTTCATTTATGTACCATATTTCTTTTTAATATACATTTTAAATGAATGTTTTAAGATTAATAGGTTTCAAAAATGCGCGAAAATATATAACATGAAGTTATAATATTCGTATACAGTGATACAGAACATGATCAATAAATTAGGAAATTCAAAATGGACCAAAACTATTGAGAATGAAATAAGAAATTTATATTAATAACCTTGGTTTATATGAAACATAAATTGATGAAACTGCGTATTTATTATAATACCGACAACTATATCCACAATATTATCTTAATTAATAATTCCCCTCCACCGTGCTCCACCTCGACCAATTTGGAGCCATTAGGCCTGTAATGATTTACTTCCAAACATCAAACGGCGGAGAACAATGAGGGTCTGGCTGCTGTCTCTGCCTGCGCGTCTTTAATTCTCCATAACAAAAGTACAAAGGCCGAGACGGAGACCAAAGGCTTTATCCCTAAACACCTTTAACACCTCTCTGGGCCGCGGCGCCGCGCCGGGCCGACGCGCACACACCACGGCCCGTCTGGAGCGTCTGTGATAGGGGCAGAGGAGGAGAGGACAGCAGCCCCGGGGAACACAGAGACAGTAGTGGAGGAGGAGGGGAGGAGGAGGAGGAGGAGTAGGGGGTGGTGTTGGGACAAAAACACCTCATCTTCTCCCTGTCTGTCTGAGCAGACCTGGATGAAGTGTTTGTGTTTGTTGTGTGTGTGTGTGTGTGTGTGTGTGTGTGTGTGTGTGTGTGTGTGTGTGTATGAGAGAGAGAGAGAGTGACAAGGAGAGAAGTTTTTTATCAGACTGCAGCATCTTCCCCGGCCTTTCTGAAGCGGAGCGGAGCAGCTTGCAGTGGAGGGATATTCGACTGCAGAGAAAAAGAAACACAAAGGAGGGGATTTACACAGAAACAGCCTGATGCGTAAGTAAATGGAAAAGGCGGCTCTAGAGCAAACTTTGTTCATCACTGAGACCCGAGGATTTACTTATTTCTTGCTTCTTTTGTCAAGTGCTGCCCAAAAGTTAACAAACAGGAACAGAAATAACATCTGAGATCACTGTCTGCGTTTATCTTACTCACAATTTTATTTTCTTATCATAAAGGCAAATACACTGGCCTCAATACAAAATGTCCTTATGATTAACCCTTGTGTTTTGTGACATTGGCTTTACTTCCGCATTGCTTCTCCACTGCTGTGTGTGTAAATAAGAACTTCAAAATCAACTAGGCTACATGTTTCACTTAAGTGCTTTTTTCGTTTCTTCTGTCCTCATTAAACCCCATTACGTAGAAGAGTAGTGAAGTAGTACCCTAACTCTTCTCTGTGCCACATTTTATGAAGGGGACAAAATATAGAAATGACCCTAAATCCTTAATAATACAGAAAATACAGAACTATTTCATCTTTTATAAGTTATAGCCTTTTTTCATACATGGACTAATATGTTATTTTCATTTGACACAAAGTTACTCACAGGTAAAAAAAAAAACTCCTTGTTAGAGCGCCTATGTACAAACTGTTATAAAAGTCTTTATAAAACCTTTTTGGGAATTTGGGATTTATTTATGTCAACACCAGTCACAGATATTAGAAAAATGTCTTTTACTGTAATATATCAAACATGTCATCGGTACAAAATACAAGCAATTCTCAACAAATCAGGAAAAGTAACAACAGAACAATGTCAAGTTGTTGAAAGGCAGCATTTGGTTTAAGAAGTAAAGGCTCAATCTTCAGGCCTGTAGACATTCGATCAACTTTGTGTCAATACTGCATTTATAATGTGTTTATAATAATCATACAGCACTGCAACCTATCTGCACTTTGTTTTCCCCACTCTCTCAAGTTTAACAAAAGCCACTAACGGGCAGAACTTTATATTAGGCCTTATGGAGAACTGTCCCACGTGCCTAAGCTCCCTCCATCTGCATCCTTTCAGTGTCAGAGGGCAGACAGACTCCGGTGCCGGCCGTCATGCACGGTCCCGGCGGAGAGGAGCAGACGGAGCCGTGCCCGCGCAGCGCTCTGCTCGACCAGAGCCGGCGGCACCGGACAGCGTTCACGCGCGAGCAGCTTTCCCGGTTGGAGCAGGAATACGGCAAGGAGAGCTACGTGTCCAGACCCCGGCGCTGCGAGCTGGCCACGGCGCTCAACCTACCGGAGACAACGATAAAGGTACTGTGTTTAACCAGCACTGCAGACAGAGGGGCGGAGGGCCGGTGACATTATATTATGAGGGTCAAATCATATTCATGAATGGATGTTATGGAGAAGTTTGCATCTGACCACACACAGAACATCAACAACAGTGTACTCCTGCACAGAGAGTGGGAGGAACTGTTGGGGCCCCTATTGACCCCCTAATCTAATCGGCTGATTAAAGTGGGTCTGTGTCACTCTAGAGGGGGTCCCTGAGTTTTGAAATGAATTCCTTTAAATTATCAAGATATAGGCCTAAATATATGTATACATTAAATCCTTTTCACAAAAAACTTCATAGTTAAAAGACTAATATTGAATTTTTCGAATCTAAAATAGTTCATGTATTATGTTCTAATCTGACAAATCTACAACTCTGAGCATCTTCACTCCCGTCAAGCATGCATCATGGGTATTCTGTGTTGAAATGGTGCAAATATATAATATATATAATATTTAACACATGTCTAATATCTTTCTTATACATTTCTCTTTTGCTGGTCTTTCACATGAGACTATATCAGTGTAAAAAAAATAGGCTGCATCAAATTATTCTAATTAACACAAGACAGTCCCTGGTATATTCTCTATATTGTAAGGGGTTCTTGGCTGAAAAGAAAAATTGAGGATATCTAGCAGCTCATTTTTGGGCCAAGGGTCCCCACACATTTCATCACACGTCTCAATAGAGCAGGTTGTAGCTCAAACGACATTTATAGTTTGGAACAATAACGTGTGTCTGATATTTTTTTCTTGCAAAGAAAAAGTATAATTTCCACTTTAGAAATGTTTTTCATTTCTAAAGTTTTCCTGCTGGACACAAGATGTCTCCTACATCACTGTAAAGTCCATTCTCAGTGGATGTACACTGGTGGCTTCAGGTTTCTACATCACACTGTACAAGTTGCATACTGGACCAGGACTGACTTCCAAACTATTGGTGATGTCACAAATCATGCTCGTAGGCCCCGCCCCTTAAAACTCAGACTTTCAGGGAGCACAGAGAAACTTTCCACTTTCAGCAGATTAATGTGAAAACATCCTTCTAGTGTCAAACTCTGCACATACAGCATTCTGCACAGTGAAGATCAAACTGAAGGAACAACTGATTTCTGAGTGGAGGGGGACTTTAAAATACAGGAAAAGATTAAACGACATGACATAAGTTTTGCTAACTAGTATAATGTTGGTTAATGTCCTAGACGGGACACTCAAACTTTGACTTTGACTTCAGACGATGCTGCAATGCTGATCTTCATCATTGATCTGTTAGTTCTCTGCTGGTGAAGACGTGTATAATCCAGGTAGCTCCAACAAGCCTACCAGTAAAACCAGCAGCATGAAATGAAACAAACACATTCACAAGAGCGGCAGCTGTCCTGCTTCTTGCAGCTGCCAATGGCCGTCACATTCACGTTGAAAATAATCAGCACCTTAAGTGGGTGTAGCTGTGGTGATGCAATGAAAGGTTGGTCTGTCCATGTGCATGGTGTCGAGTCATTTTCCATATTGTTGTCCAGGTAAAATTTCTATTAAAAACTGACATTCAGTTTGGAGACAAAAGTGGAAGGAGCCCAAAAACCCGAGAGACGGAGGATTTAAGAAAAAGCTCTTGAGTCTTTTCTCTTTTCCTGACAAGTGGTCCCGGCAAGAAAATTGTCCCACCTGTAAAACAGCAAATTGTCGTTTTTATACAGATTAAGCAAAAAAACAAATAAAATATTTATTAGTGAGCTTGAGAGCTGAGAGCGTGAGGTGTTGGTGGACAGATTATGTTTCTTTTGGACAGAGCCAGTCTTTGTGCTAAGCTAAGCTAACCGACTGCTGGCTCCAGCTACACCTCTACTGTGCAGATATGAGAGTGGTATTTATGGCCTCATCTAACCTGTTGCAAAAAGTAAATAAATGCATGTCAATTTCTCCAACATGTTGTATCTGGTTTCTCATATAAGTTGTGGTTTTATGGGGAAGTTGTGTGCTGGAACTTCAGTGAAGAATCTCTGGTTAAAAACATAAATGATCATTTTTATATTTCTGTCTGGATTAAATAAACAACATGCAACGTTAGCATTGAGTTTCAGAGGTGTAGGTGTAGTTAACCCCTGCTTTCAGTCTTTATGCTAAGCTAAGCTAATGGCCCTCCAGCTCCATACCTACCACACTTTAGCGATATCGTTTCTCAACTAGGTCTCAGAACAACCCCCAACCTACTAACTCCTTCACTGATTTACAGGCTTTATGTCTGTTGTCTTAGACACAGCCAAAAAAATAAAGCCAAGCAGGTCAAAACGGGAAGCAAAAAATCTGAGACAGCTACTCACCCAAACGACAACATTTCCCATTAATGTGAGGTTTTCATTATCCCTACTCTTACTTGTCATTTCAATCAACATGCCAGATTGAGTAGTGACAGGTTTAGCAGTGTCTAACATTTGACGCAGAGGCCCACTGGCCCAGTGCAGCCGCTTTAATACGCAGTAAATGCGCCCACCTTTCTGCCAGCTACTGGAGGGTCTTTTATGAAAGAGCAGGAATGCGAGGCGAGGCCTTGTAAACGCTGCCACCTGACGTTTTAGAAGCACAGCCTTCCGGGAGATTCTATGAGCTGGTAAAATAGTTGAGGACTGGACAGACAGACACACAGGCAACTGGTCCGTCTCTGCTTTAAAGTTTTAAGAAGTTAGTGCTGCAGCAGAGAAAAGCAGGAGTTAACTAGAGAAAATGAAATGAAACATGGTATGTAATCTGGAGAGCATGCAATTAAAATATTTAAAGTGCCCCTCCATTCAAAAATATGTCTTGTTCCTACAGTGCGCTGTTTGATCTTCATTGTGCAGAATGCTGTATGTGCACAGTTTGACACTAGAAGGATGTTTTCACATTCATCTGCTGAAAGTGGAAAGTTTCTCTGTGCTTCCTGAACAACTGATTTTAAGGGGCGGGGCCTACCAGCATGATTTCTTACATCACAGATATTTAGGAAGTCAGTCCTGGTCCAGTATGCAACTTATACAGTGTGATGTATAAACTTGAAACCACCAGTGCTCATCCACTGAGAATGGACTTTACAGTGAAGTAGGAGACATCTTGTGCCTGGCAGGAAAACTTTAGAAATTAACAACATTTGCATATTCAGAGATTCTGGGATTTTTAATGGTCTAGAAAGAGTAGATGTTTTTCTGAGGATTTTAATGTGGAAATTAGAAAAATGAAATGTGGAAAAAACAGATCTGACACACATTGTTGTTCCCAGGAGCCTTTTACTTTTCCTCTACCGCCACAAGCAGGTTGATGTTTATTATTACGTGTTTATGGGAAAAGGATTTTGATTTAATTCATGAATAAATTGAGTGTTTATCAGGATGGAAATAGAATGAATCTTAAGTTTAAACTCCATTTTGATAAAGAACCAAATTGATCAAATTTCCAACATTGTGACTGTCTTACTGGTCTTAATTTACTCATATCACAATTTTCAACAAATAAATGGTCTAAATCTCACTTAGTATATTTGAATCTTAATAATATAAAAATATAATATTAAAAAAATATGAATATAGAATCATAACAACCAGCCTGTTAGTCCACAGTCTTTTGGTAGTTAGAGTTAGAATTACTCAGAATAAAGACATTACAATATCCTACTGCTAAATGTATTATTATCAACGTAAATGTAACAGTTTATCTTTTGGCTTAATTACAAAATACTAATAGCTCATATGTCAGTGCCTTCAAAAAGGAACTATAATTTCAAATGTGATTCATATAGTAGTCATGTTCAGATCTGCCACCCCTATTATTAATATTTTATAAATTTTAGTCATCTAAAACTATCTGGGTAGTTTTATGGAAAGTGTTAGTCTAACATTTTGCACACCAATCCATCCTCCCTGATATATTGTGTTGCGCTGCACTAGGGGTTTTCAAAGTCTCTGACACTGTTGGCCACCCTCAGATAAAATGAAGATAACTGCAACCCCCAAAAATGATATTTATTGATTTTGTTAAATAATCGTGCTTTAAGTTTTAGAACTATACAGTTCCCATAATTTGGGGCCTTTGGGAGATGTAAACATGTAGCATAATGTTGCCATTTATTTAGCCTATATTTGTTCACATTATGGCAAATGTGCACCATTAAAACTATGCCGAATTAGTTGTTAGCAGGTCCTGTTTGCAGTGTGCCCATGGATGTATACACAACTATCACTGGATTACTTTGATTGTGAAAAAAAACTTAAAAACATGATGATTCTCAGGCAAGTTCTGCAGTTATTGCAATGCAATTGCTGAGCAGGCCATCAACTTTGTCTCCTTTGTGTCTTCATTCTTTCCTAATCCTGCTCCTTTGTTCCTTCCCTCCTTCCCTCCTTCCCTCTCTCCAGGTGTGGTTCCAGAACAGAAGGATGAAGGACAAACGGCAGAGACACTCCTTGCCATGGCCTCACCCCCTCGTCGACCCACTGGGGGCGCTGCTGATGGGCCGCGCCTCTCCTTCCTCCGCCTTGCCGTACCCCTTCATCCCTCCCCACCTGCCGCACCTCCCCCTCCACCACCACTACCCCTTGGCTCTCTCCTCGCCATCCTCAGCTCACAGTCGCTACAGCGCGCCCATGAGGACCCTGGATGCTCTCCGCCTCTCCCACTACCACAACAGACATGGGGGGCTGCCTCCAACCACAGCAGCCCTCTACCCCTCCACCAGCATCATGCACCATCCCGCCTCATGCCCCTGCCCCCTGTGCCTGCACTGGGGACCAGAACAACTGCTCAAAGCCAGAGGGGAGGCACTGGGACTGAGCCAGCCCCGTAGTCCTAAAGCTAGCATCCAGCCTGCTGGTCTGGAGCGGAGGGAAGAGATGGTGTAACACCAGACGGACAATCTTCAAGCCTGTCAAACTGCTGTCAAATAAGCTGCTGCAAGCAAATAGCTGTATACTCCCTGTGATCTACATGGTGGTGCTTGCCAAATCACAAAGGCAATACGCTAAAGAGTTTCACTATACTGTATAACTCTAATTAACAGACAAGACTTAAAATCCCCTCAAAACAGGAAGTGAAAACACACAATACAAAGGGTCTATCTAAAACAACCAAACCAATCACATGACAAACATTTATTACATGACAGTGTTTTGGAAGACAATTATTACAAACCTTTTATGTTGCATGCCAAACATTGTGTCTGTGCCAACCTGCCAAATTCATTTGGAGCACAGGGCCAGCCTGAAGATGCATTCAGATTTAGCACCAAGCAAACATTTGTCTTGCTTTATTTTCATGACTTTGACCACTAGACTGTTGGTACGGTCTATGTTTATTCGCCCCAAACAGCCAATATACTGTCTGAAATGTCAGCAGCTCAGTCTTTTATGTGCATTCATAAAGAGGAGTCATACAGACTTTGTTACTAGCACAAAGTTTTCACTCATAGATGCCACTTCTGTTCAGTTTGTGCCACCTACAGCCAGTTTATGTCTGTTAGTGTCCGCTCGCAAAATGCTTTGCATTCAGTCTGAACACTCCTTAACAATCCTTAAAGATCAACTTAATGCTAAAATGTTTGTTTTTGCTGATGTCCAGTGGTTCAACTTCTCACCTTGCTGCAAACTTTCAAACAAATTTTAAAACCACAGTAGACTTACTGCAGAAATCGGTATCATCAGGGTTTCACACAAAGCCACTAATTGGTATTGCATTTTTCAGTGTAAACTAGTTTTAAAGGTTTTTTTCATGATAACTTTTTGGGAATAATTTCTCTTTTTCTCTGGGAACTGGAATTTATTACCAAAACTATGACTATAGCAAAAAATTCTGAAAATAGTCAAATGTTTTGTTCTCTTCTTCAAATACCACAAATGTAGCCATACGGTAGTTTGATCTCTGTTTTTTGGCACATCCTCCCACAACTTATGTTACGTCTAAATGGAAAAGTTCCAGTATATTTGGTAGTCCTCATTACATGAAAAAATCCCTGCTGTATTAATCCAGGAAAAGGGAGTAGATGTTGGCGATAAATGCCAGGATCTCAGCTGATTTTCAACCATAGCCACAAGAAGTACGCACATATTAGTTTGTGGCAGTGTGTTTGTTTGATGTGATTCAGATTAGGTGAAGAGAGAAGATGAAGAAAAAAGAAACCCAATGGGGCATTTTGAAGTCAGCCTGTGTAAAAGCACAATTGCACCGAATGAAGATTTAATGTACATATTATGGTTTTGGAGTTGGTTTCCATTGTTTTCTCTGCTGTAACACTAATGACTACTGCTTTAATTTATTTGTACAACTTTAAAGTTTTAAGTTGCATTCACTGACACATTAAATGGCTATCATGGTAAGCTGAGATAGCACATTCAATTCCCAGGAAACTAGAGGCAGAGTGGTTGTGGCCATCACTTGTGTCGTATGATCATGTTAGAATGCATTTATATACAAAATGGACAGGAATTTGTGTTAAAAAAACAAAATGTGGAATAAATCCTCACAACCCTGTCGAAAAGCATAACTGAAAGTGCATAAGTGTAGCCTTTACTACTAGCCTCTACCTAAAGGAATGGTTCAATATTTTGGGAGAAGCACTTCTTCGTTTTCTTTCTGACGGGAAAATCTCAATAGATATCAATCTCATGTTTGTGTGTTACTGTAAGCTCAGAGCTGGAGTCAAGATGTGGTTAGCTTAGCTTAGCATAATGACTGGAAGCAAGGGGAATTAGCTAGCCTGGTTGTGTCCAAAGTAGAAAAATACTCCTATCAACACCTCAAAAGCTCTTGTTTGTTTAATCCATACATGATCAGAAATGTAAAAACTAAAATTTTGTGGAAATGCATTTTGGAACTATTTTGAGCAACAGTTTATCCATCCACACAGAACTTCAGTACAGTGTCTCCGGCTATAGCAAGGGTTGTCAGTTTCAGTCATTGAGCACTGGTTTTGGTTTTAATCCCTGTACAGGTACAATGGTTGCAAACTGGCAACCCTGACAACAAGCAACACAAGATCACTGTGCCAGGATATCCACAGAGAACCCCCCCCCGCCAAAACCACAAAACATTGTTCTTACATTTCTGTTCATTTATGGATCCAACAAACAAGAAGCAAAATAATGTAGAGTTCAGTTAATGAGTTAGTGTTGCTGGTAGGCATATTTCTGAACCTCGGAGCTGGGCTAGTTGTTGTCCCTTGCTTCCCATCTTTATGCTAAGCTAGGCTAACCATGTCCCAACTCCTGCTGTACTAACACACGAGATCTCAGACTTGCCTGGTTCTTAACTAGAGATAATGAGATTCATCATGTCACCTGTATCAAAGGGAAATTGTGCCTGATGTCTCTGTGCCATCACTCACTGAAAAATAATCCTGATATGTGACAGATTCTTTAGGAACAATTACTTGAAGGTTTAAAATAATGTGTCTGATGTTCCATTTTTTTCAATTTGCCGACCTTTGCTCTGTTAACGTTAACGTTAAGTGATCAGCCATTAAGTTAAACAGCCATAAAACTCTAGTGAACAGAGGCAGGCTTTGTCTTGCACCACACCCAGAGCCACAGAGAGACAATGCTGCAACCAAAGGAACCAAAAAAGATAACATTTTATTGAAAGGATGGATGATTATTTAGATTTTTACTTGTTTTTCTCTACATAGCTGTCTAATAGATGTTTCTACATTTAAAGGGTTCCATTCAACAATGTTCTTTATGATAATTTATTTCCAGTACTGACGTTACTTTTATAGGAGCATTAACTAAAGTAGCTAGTCACATGGAAGACAGTTAAATAGTGTGGATGGGAAATCTGGTGGCTACATTTTCTGTCATTTTGTGGTTCTGACTGTACATTAATGGTTTAAGGGGTTCATCTAACTGTTGGTGTAAAACACATTAGCATAGCACAATGTTTGTCCAGGTTTTGTCCATTTTGGCTACTGACTGAAAGTAAACAGACACCATTTGCACTCACACCAGCTGGAAAAGGGAGATGATGTTTTACTGTGTCAGGACGTCATGAATTGTCCTTTTTGATAAGATATTAAATGTACAAATAAAGAGCCAACACAGTTCAAATCTACCTGCTTTATCCAATATATAATAAAAGCCAATGAATTAATGAATGAATGAATAAATATATGTATAAGGGCAAAGAACAACAACTATTAAGGTGATTATCCACTAATACGAAAACCTAACTATTACTATTATATTCCATTTCTCTCCTAAACAGACCCCCCTAAACATTACACACTGGACCTTGAAGACAGCAAGTGTTGAATCCATGACTCTAGGGAAACAATAATCAAAAGTACAAACGACAGCATTTCATAACTACAATGAAAGAGCTAAAATAAAAATCTGGTGACTGACAGCAGATCGTGATGCATTTTACTGAACTTTTCAACTTCAAGCAATAAGCTAGCCACGATCATTCCAGGCGGCTTCTTTCTGTGTTTACTTTTGGTCGTACTTCAGAGAGTTTGAAATGATTCATGCAAAAATGTGTAGGCTAATGCAGCATGCACGAGTGCTTGTTTCTCCAAATCTTTGCAACAGAGGTGGTTAGTGCAAATTCACACCCACCAGTGCCCCAGTGTTTGCACACAAAAAAAAGGCCCTCTAGGGTGTTAATCCTAACCCTGACTAAGATGTTTCACTATAAATACATCAAAACGTTCTGCACGCTGGTGCCTTTTTTTCCGCCCCTGCCCCTCAAACAGCCTGTGTACGCCACTGGCATTCTGCATGACGTGTAGAGCACCAACAGACACATTTATGGGAAATACACAGTATGCTTTCATTGCCCTGGGATATTTCCACTGCTCGAATCACGCTCTATTCATGTATTAAGTTCAGACCTTTCACCATATTTGAAGACAATCATAAGTGTCAAACTAATGTAATGCTGTGATAACATTTATTGTAAGAGCTGTCATGTTCATTTATGAAAAAGTGAAACTGAAGTGGGATTCTCTGACATCTAAATCAGTCAGTTCACAGCAACCATGTATGAACTAATGCATCAGTCCAGTATCCTTAGGTAAGTCCCTAAAAAATGTAATGGTGCCCAGTACAATATATGTTTATTTATTTGGCAAAATGATCGACAACTGATTTATAATTTAATGAAATAAAATATTTTTTAGGTAATAATTGCAACTAGGCTAAAAATGAAAAGTCACACTGAATATTGTTCCAACAGTATTTCAAAATACTGTTCTCAGCAGTTTGTGATTTGTTGAACTTTGTTGCTGAACTGGAAAATCACAAACCTCAAACCAACATTTTTCAACTGATCATATATAAGTTCAAGTTTCTGTTGTCTGTATATTAAAACAGCAAACAAAATGCAACGTTTTAAATACCATAATATATATATTTTTTCTGTTTCCATTCACGTAAATGTACAGTAACATGCTGTAATTTACTGTAATTGGTAAAAGTGCACTTTGATCGAAAATCCAGTTACAGATACAGAAACAAACATACTGTTAAATGTCACTTTTATAATAAATCTGCGATGTTCACTCAGTAGAATAAAATATTCTCTCTGACCTGATTCATATTAGTGAGATACCGCTGATTAATTGTAGTAGTTCTCTGGGCTGATGGAGTTTTACAATCAAAACACAAACCTTCCACTGAAGTAATAAAATGATTAAAAGATTGAAATTGCTGTGTGTGTGTGTGTGTGTGTGTGTGTGTGTGTGTGTGTGTGTGTGTGTTTGAGACAGAGAATCAGAGAGAGATGAAGATTCCGATGACTACATAGAGGTATACGTCTTCTTTAAACTTGGTGATGTGTGCATTCAGGCATGAATTTGTGTTTAAATGCATGTGCCTTCCTGTTTGTTCGGGCCTCGTACTTGTTATTTGATCAGAAGAGTGTAGCAGCCCTCGTCTTGTAAATTGTTGCTGAGGCTTTAAAAGGTTTGGGACAGAAAAGTCAATCAATCTGTTGGCTGGTGATTCCAATAAAAAAACATGAGCTTGAGACATGAGCTGTGTGCACACTGCTGCTTAAACTGTACCAACACTCACTGGACAAAAAGGACCCGTATCTGGAAAGATCCAGTGGTATACAAGTTTATGGATCTGTATCCAAATTTGTATATCATATCATATAATAATATGTATATATAAAAATGTGATAATATGATAAAAAAAACAAATGTTTTAGCTCAACAACAAAACAAAAAAAATCAGTGTATGCAGTTTGCATCAATCTTTTTGAATTATGACAACTTCTGATGAAATTATGTTCAACAAATGTACTACATTGATTTAGGGGAAATAGCTTTTCCTCTACAATCAAATGTATTTTTAATGTAAATAATTGGTAGCATAAAAACACAGTTTTTTGGTTGATTAGGCTTCTAAAATTAACTTGTTTCAACGGGTTTATTTACATTATTTATGTCAACACAGGTTATTGCAATAATGTTTACAACGTAAAAGGTTTATCTAATCAACTACATTTTATGAAGTTATGGTAATATGTCCACTGAATTCCTTTTTAGAGTGTAAGATCTACAGATCCAGTCTGTAATCTTCTTCACACGTCTATATCTTTGACAAATACAAACATGTCACTACTTTGGATAGTTTTGTGAATTTATTTCAGTGAGTTTCCTTTCCTCTCTGCTGTTAATCAGGTCTGGTTACATAAATCAGATCTGATCTCCAACTATGCTACAATCTCTCTTTCTGGGAAGACTACTGCTGTTGTTGTTTTGGGTCACTTTGACCAGAAAATAGGGGAGACAGAGAGGGGATAAATATGTGATTGAAACCAATGTCTGTCAGAACATAGTTTGGTCATAGCATCAACTATCAAAACTGAGGTCAAGGAGGTGAAAGACTCCAATCAGCAAAATGGCCAGAAATCCTTTAGGTAATGAACTTAAATGTCTTCAATAAATAAATAAATAAAATAAAAATATATTGTAGAAAACCCTGACTGAAGCGCAAAAGCCTGCAGTGAGGGGCATCCTTAAACTGAAAGTATTTTCAGCCACGCTATCGGCATGGCTCCAAGGATGGCAATGTTTGAATGGTCGGTTGGTTCTTTACCTCTGGACTGGACTGAAATATCTCGACTTTGGTACAGACATTCACGGTCCCCTCAAAATGAAGTGTAATAACGCCCCCAACGGTTCATGCAGCGCCATCATCATGTCAAAATTCCAGTTGGTTTATAATCAAATAGCTGCAAATAAAATACCCACTAACGACATTCACATCAGCCTCAGCTGTACTTTGTGTTTTGTGATAATTAGCAAAATGTTAGCATGCTAACACACTAAACTAGGATGGTGCATTGTCATTGTGAGCATGGCTGTAGACTC